AGTTCTGAAGGCGAAAGGGGGCCAAACACAGTATTAGTATGGTGTTCCTAATAATCCTTTAGGTGAGTGTACATATAAATTAAATAAAAAATAATAATTGTACATCCAAACGGTAAAGTTTTTGGTCATTTTTAATGCACGCTTCCGCCACCCCATGCTTGGGACAGCCCGGGAAGCAGTGAAAGTGATGGCAAAGAGGAAGAATATATGTCATAGATTGTTGTTGAAGACAGGCATTTGGGTGCATTATCCTATGCCAGTTTGGAAAATGTCATCCATACTTCAACCAGAGGTCAGGAAAGATGCCACTGCCTATTGGCCTCATACACTGACAAGCAAATGCTCCAAAAATAATGACTAAACAGGTTAGAATCGAGTTACGTGTGGAAAGTGTGGGCTACACAGAAAAAGATTGATTTTCACTTGTGCTACAATCATTGCTTCGGAATTCCAAGAAAGAAACAAATGTTTTTAATGCATTTTGAAACACTAAGACATGGTTTCATTACTTCCTAAGCAGTGAAACTGCATCTGCATTTCCAACTGAAATATAGTAGCACAAGACCTGTCATTTCATAATTAGTCCCATAGAGGGTTAAAAATAAATGAATGCATAAATAAATACAGTTGAAAGAAATCAAAAGAATCTATTTATAACAGTTAAAAATAAAAGTAATACAGAAAATAATAAATGAAAGAAAAATGTAATTCAAAAATATATTCAGGATTCATTTAATTAATTTAATTGATTCCTTTATTTTCTTATTTTTACATTTATTTATTTATTTGTTTGTTTGTTTGATTGTTTTTCATTTCTGCAGATTTGATTACTCAGCAGGGGAGATTTTTGCTGGCCAGCACCTGAAGGATGTGTGCGTTTAGGCACATCATATAAAGTAAATAGTTTTGCTTGGATAGAGTTGGACTTGATCATTTTTTTTTCATACATTCAGAGAGTGGGACCCTCATCGAATCTGTGATATACAGGTGAGTGACAATCTTATGTACAAAGAACCCATCTTTTGCCACCTGTCTTAGTTGGTGGGTTACCAAATATTAATGGAGGCCCTCCCTAATGTGGAGGCCAACTGGGGGCCAGTTTAGCTTCACCCTCATTAAACTGGCCTGATCCAGCTAATCAAGTCCTTCAGGCTCATTTGAAAACCACTTGCCTTAGGGCAACTGCCAACTCTGCCTATCGCTAGTGCCGACCCTTTCTGTCCCAGTTGGTATTCATTTGAAGCAGAATGTCCGACGTGCAAAAGCTGCCACTTCTGTCAGTGGAAAATATACTGTAGGTGCCAACAATTCAGAAGCACACGTTAGTTCAGCAAAGCATCATTAAAAGGTGTTTGTAAGGTAAATTAAATGGCAACACTTTACAACAAGACTAAATGTCCTTGTTGTTTAACATATTTGAGATAACTTTATAGTATTTACATTTACAGTACTTTATATCAGGATCTTTCTTTATATCTACCCTGCTCCTGGAGGGCCACCATGCTGCAGAGTTCAGCTCCAAGCCTAATAAAACACAACTATAATCAGCCAATCGAGGCATTCTGGATTATGTGGAAGGTCATGTTGGAGCAGGGTTGGAGCCGAAGTTTTGCAGAAAGATTTGGGACAGAGAGAAACCTCCAGGCTGGCCACTCCTGCTTTACACTGCATGATGTCAGATTGTATGTGCAGTTGTGAGCTTTGTCTCTCGTAGACACTGTGGTATTTTTCCATGGTAACAGCTGTTTGTTGTGTTATGGTGGATTCATTCTCCTCTTGAGAACCAGTAACGTGAAGCCTTTAGTGAAAAGGCGGAGTGTTGCTTTGAGACAACTTTGCCAGATTTTCTTTGGTATTTCCAGAGGGATGTCTCAGGAATGAATTGGAATTCTTTTGGAGAACATAATGAAATTAACAGTTGCTGTTTAGTCTTTAAAGGTAGTTTCTTGAGGTGCTTTGGTGTTGAAATGATTTCCAATAAGTTCTTTACCAATAAATCAAGTTGTGTGTTCCTCAAGCTGGATGAAAACATTGCTCAGCTGACTATAGTCTTTCACAACCCCTGACTCTCCCAAAAAACTTTCTGAACAACAACATTTTTGTGGGTTTACATGACAAACTGTAACACGCACACAGACAAGGGAAAAAACAACAACAAAACGTCCAGGATTAGTTTAGCCTGCATGGTTGAATAAATTCAAAATACACTTTCATACTCATTAGACATGGAAGAGAGAAAATATTCCAGTGCGTTGATCTAATCTTCCGATGACCTCATGTTTGTGTGTGTTTGCTTCAGAAAAACAGGGAACAGTAGTGTGGGAGGTGTCTGTAACGGTTTCAGTGTGTTAGCAAAAAGAGTTTCAGAGCTTAGGATGAGCAGTTTATCTCACAGAGAGAATTACATGTAATGCTCTTATTATAGTTATAATTTTCAAAGTATTGATATATTGAATTGTAATGCCGACAGTCTAGCCGAAGTAGGTTCTTGTGCAATTTCTAGTTAAGATTCAAAGCTATAATGTTACAAAACTACTTTTAGGCATACCTTCAAAAATAATAGGTTCCCTCACTGCAAAAAACATTTTCTTCATTACTCCATATTTCCTTAATAAAAAAAAAAAATATATATAATTGCATTGTTTTTGGCAGTTCTGGGGTAGTACTTGCAGAGAACTAGCAACTTTCTGAATACGACCCAGAAGTTTCCCTTTCCTTGCACTGGTTCTCAACCCTGTTCCTGGAGCATTTTAAATGTCTAATTTTTCTGTTAAACCAATTTAAGATCTTTACCAATGACCCGATGACCTGAATCAGGTGTGTTTGATTTGGGAAACATACAAAATGTGCAGTGCTGGGGCTCAAGGAAGAGGCCTGAGAAACCCTTTCCTTAAGATCTATGCCCTGATCTACACAATTTAAGAGATAATGTGCACAAACAAACAATGCTTTTAGCAAGCGTAATAATTCAAAGTGAATTATCCCTGATCGAGTTTAAAGGGGTCATAAAATGCCATTTTTGTACAAGCTAATATGATTCTTTAGGGTCTAAATTAAAAGTTTCTAATATACTTTAATTAAAAATTCTCATTAGTATTGTAAGAAAACACTTATTTTACCTGGTCAAAAACAGCTCTGTTTTCAGCACGCCGTTTCAGTGCATATGACTTTAAATGATCATGAGCTTTGCTCACCCCGCCTCTCTGTGCTGTGCATACACCGTTTGTAACACAATAATACAATAACCATAACGCGTTGTTCATTATAAACGTGGGATTATGAATTATATTGAGAACGTTGTACATAGAAAACATGCCGTAATGTACCCTGAGTGTAAACCGACGCATTCATCGTGAAGCGTGCAGCTGGCGATTTGCAAAGATTAATATAAATATTAATATAAAGATTAATAAAACGTTACACTCACTTTAGTTCTTCTGAAGGTTCAGCAGGAACACGAATAGGTTCCGATCCTTTATTCAGGAGCAGCTTCTCAGCAAAACCAGCTTTACACTGATCCTCGTTTATAAAGCAGTCCACTGAGAAATGATTCGGCAAACATGAGAGCATTGACGTTGCTCGTGGGGAATATTCCCTTCGAAAACAAACTCAGCCACTGCGTCTTCAGCGGTTCGGATTTAGGAACATTAAAATGACTGTGTTCGTTATTACACCCAAGAACAGAACACCACAATCGCTTAGACGCCATTCTGCTCATAGACAGTGCTCCAGCATATCAACAATGACCGCGCCGGTCCGCGCCGCGCAGACTATGATTGACAGGACGAGCGAGGGCGGGTCTGTGTTGAAACACTCCTGTCAATCAACAATCGTGGGAGGGGCGTCCGTTTTATTGACGTCACAAAAACGAACGGCTCAATTTGAGGCAGTGGAAAACATATAAGGAGATTAAAACAAAACCACTGGATGGATTTTTATCATTATATGATGGTTGTGTACAGGCACTGCCAACACACATTTCAGTACAATCAACTTGTAAAAGTGCATGTACCATTATATGACCCCTTTAATGCAGTGTGACTGCAGCATCTATTGCTATCAATGTTTCTTGACATGTTAGTGTTCACATTTTAGGATAGCAGTCGGATATTCCACAGGCCTGAACGGATTAGCAGCCATGGGACAAAAAGCTCTCACTCCGAATAACCAACACTAAGCTCTATATACTTTCACCCACGCATAGAGGAAACCACAGTGCAATATGAATGTCTTTGTTGCCTAACTAGCCTCTGCTGGGGAATGTTATGTGCAAATGTAGCACTCTATACATTTCCCAGTGTATTCTTGAGGTACGGCATAACCTTTAATTGAACTACTTGTTTTCAAAATGTGAGTTGAGGATGTGAATGTGAAGAGTTCCATTGAAAATGTACTTTTTTATTTTATTTGCCTGATCTGTTCCGAAGGGTGATGAGCATAGGAATACAAAGGCAATGATCTGTCTCTTTATCTGAGCCAGAAACAGTCTCAGCATGAATAGCATCGTTGGGTCTGTAAGATCAATCCAGGAAAATCATGAAGTTCACGGCCTCAGTTCAATCTTGTCTTTTACACAGATTTTCATTAGATTCCAAGATTTGAAGCCACATACAGAGCAACACCATTAAATTCTGTCTATTCTTTCTAAAGGGTTCATTAATATGAGTAGACAAATCACTTTTAAATATGTGCCTTTTGACCACTTTGAAATTTGACAATAAGTTTTTAAAATGTCACATTCCATTAAATCAGATGGGAGATTTTAAAGCATCACAAAACAGAATATAATTCATTAAGGTAATGCAAAGCAACAAATAACTGTAACATTTAACAGGGTTTTCAATCACAAGGACAGACTGGAACAGTTTCTATACCTCATAAAAAAGAGAGAAAGAGACACACATAAATAAGAGGAACAGTTCAGTTCATGACATTGACTCTCAGACAACAAAAGAGTGTGACTCTCCATGACTCTTTGAAAGCAATTAAATTAGACTTACCATATGGCCAGGCCATCCCCTGGGCCAACAGGAGGAAGATGATGAGTAGGGTGAAGCCGGGCAGAGAGAGAAGATTGTGACGGTTCCGCTGGCTGCGGCCCTGCAGCGGGACAGATAAACACATGCTGAAGTCTGGAGCTCTGTTTACTCTTTGAGCTCAGCTGCTTTTACATCACCTCTACTCTGTACTTCCCTCCCTCTTGACTCACATTTTCCCACTCTCTCTCTCTCTCTCTCTCTCTCTCTCTCTCTCTCTCTCTCTCTCTCTCTCTCTCTCTCTCTCTCTCTCTCTCTCTCTCTCTCTCTCTCTCTCTCTCTCTCTCTCGCTCTGCATACTCCCCTCAGTCTATCTCTGTCCCAAACCTCTTGCATTCTTTACACATTCAGCACATCTTCTTTGTCTCTTTAAATCTGCTATACTCAAAAGTGAAAGTTCCTATCTCTGTCTCTCTCTTTCTGTGATTTTTCCTTCTCTGTTTCTCTCCCCTCCCTTGGTTTCAGGTTTCAGAGTCCAGCTTTGTAAGAGTCTCCACTAATCATCAGCTCTGCTGTTAGAACACATTCACTGTTACAGAATAAAAGTACACACACACACACACACACTCACGTTGGGTTTTCATGTTTTAAAAAACATCAGTTAGTATGATTTATAAACTGTTTTCCTCATAAAATGTCCCCACAAGGAAAATGATTTTGGATATTGCCATCTTTGTGGGGACATTTTTGTAACGTAACATGTCCCCTGAACCACACACACACACACATATTTCTATTATATTCTATCATACAAAAAAATAATTAGGAATGTTTTAGAAAAATAAAGAAAAATAAACAATTCTTGTCTTAAACAGGAATCGAACAAAGGGTAGTCTGTTTTGTGTATAAAACAAGAAAAATGTATTTGCCAATGAGTTTTGTATTTTATTATTGCATTTGTAATTAAGTAAATTTATATTGTTTTTAGGATGTTCAGATATTTGAGATAAAAAATAAAACAAAAATAACTGATTATTTTTTGCATTGTATTTTATTTAATTCTGTTCTATTCTAGTCTAGTCTAGTCTATTGTATTCTAGGCATAAACGGTCACACTCACAAAGCCTGATTGCAAAAATATTATTCAGTGCACTCCGCAAGATAGATAGTGCATGTTTGAGGGTGTTGCATCTAAGTTAAAGTGCTGCTTTGAAGTTTAAGTAAAGTCAAAGTAGATATACAAATACTTTAATATTATTGTAGCTCAAGAGCGTTCTCTGTATGGTCCGTACATTGTGGTAGTGAGCAAATGCATGTTGCAGCCTCATTTATAAAAAATGAGAACCGACAAAGGACTAAACAGAACAGGGAGTATGTATACACAAGTAAACAAAGGAACCAAACGAGAAACAGGTAAACGTAATCAGAAAGTAATTAAGGCACAATGAAGACTAAACTGAAAGGGTTACATTAAACCAAGACACATGAACAATAACACAATGAAACAAGACAGAACGCTAACAGTTCTCCTCCCTCCCATAAGGCACCAAATCTAACAGTACAATGATAATGATAGAGGGAGAGAGGGGATTTCGGAGGAGGATAAGGGGCAGGCGTAGGACACGAAACAGGAGGAGTCAGTCAATGGGAACACCATAGCGGCACTGACGGAGGCCAAGGCAGAGCCCTGATAGGTCTCTTGACCGGAGCCTGGGGCCAACAAGCGGAGACGGATCAAATGGCAGTGGAGACCCTGCAAATACGTGATGACAACTCCCCATCGTGAAGTCACTGGCCAGAAGGGAACAACACCGCGTTGAGCGATTGAGACGAAGATAGTTGCCTGGCAGAGTGGGGTGAGACTGGAAGGAAAGGAGGAACCTGGTGGAGCTGAAGGGGTGAACAGGCTGAGATGAAGTCAGGGGATCCATATTGTAGAGCTTGGCTGTTTGAGAGGAAACCTGAGGCGGTGCCGGAGACTGCCCCTGGGGACTGGACGGAGCCATTGGTGAAGAAGACAATGGGTTGGACAGGTGACAGGGTGGGAGTTGATCATCTAGGAAATTCAAGGGACTACGCAAAGCCAACATGATGGAGACAACAGAGTGGACAGGTGACAGGATTAGAGAGGATCATCCAACAGGTGCCAGAAGTGTTTACAGTGGTGGGAACAAGGTTGGGAGCTGGCTTCATCAAGATGTTGATGAGCTAGCGATCCTCGGCTGGCTCTGGACAAAAAGAGATGGCTTCCGGCTCTAGCTCCTGGACGGATGCGTTGGCAGGTTTTGGCTCCATTGTGGGAGGCAGCTCTCGCACTTGCCCAGGAGTTGGCTTGGGCTCAATATTCGTGGCGGGCTCAGGCGTTGAGGTCAGGTCTGCGGGGCTGGGACGAGGAGTCCTGTCTGGAGAAGGCAGAGAGATTACTTCTAGCAAAAAAACGTGCTTTGGAGTCGGAGATGTTTTTGCTGTCCTCAACAACTAAAGGGAGGGAGGATTGCAAGGTGTAGTCAGCGAACTCGGTGAAAGGACAGTGATCCTCCCCCAACAGCACCAAGGATATCCCTCTCCAGAAGAGATGGTTGAGTGTTTCATCATCCCAGCATGCCTCATTGTAGAGCTCTAGGAAGCCCTCCATATATTCCTCCAGCATCCTGCCATTTTGGAGAAAACAGTCCTTCTCTGTTTCGTTTTTGGCAAACACTAAAGATATAGAATGACGGTTCACTCCTATTACTTATGAATTTGAGAAACTTTAACTTGCAATATGGCGGAATACGTCCCGCCTTCTAGTAAAGTAAAAGAACCCAATTGCTGATTTGTAAAGTCATTGCATCACTGCAGCTGACGTTAGAAGCTCCGGTTCCCATAAAAACCTGAGACGCATGCTTAGGACTTCACATGTGCATTGGCTGGTTTAGCCTGAAATATAAGTCCTTTTAACACCATTCGAGCATAAGAAACAACATTTATGGTAAAGTTCATGTCATATTTTGTTGCTGATTTGAAATGTGTTATTTAACTGTGAGTCTGGCAAGCAACTTTTGAGATTTCAGGGATCCCCCATTGAAATACATAGGACTTGGTCTTGGATGCCCGAAATAGCTGCCCGGAGGTGTTGCAAATATGGCCGCAGAGTGAATCAACTTTCCTTGAAAGGGACTTTAGTTTTGGTCAGTTCTTCTGTCACAAACACTGTGGTAGTGAGCAAACCTGAGGCGGACTTAACATTAGGCAAAGGTAGGCGACTGTGTAGCATCAGAAATACAATTGTAAATGTACAACCTTTGACAGCGTTTTATGATTCAGCATTAATTATCGCCCCTCAAGAACAATTGTAGTGCTTTACAACTATAGCACAGAAACCGTGCTCGTTAAAATGATAAATTACTTACTTCTAGCTTCTGGTTAGATGTTGTGGGAAGAAGGAGGAGGGAACATTCAAAGAATTAAATAACAAAACAAATACAAAACGAAAGTAAAAGACAGCAGCTCCTTACGGACGACTGCTGTCACATAATAAAACATAAACAACAAAGCACAAGTCCAGGCCTGCTCCTCTCTCCATCTCCACGGTCATAGCTCCTCATTTTATGCTTCCGCTCCTCCGTGAGAGATACGAGACCGGTGCGTCGCGCAGGTGTCGCTCATTAGTAATCACGTCACCGGCCTCAGCTCGCCACAGACTGGTATTCAGGGACAGGCATTAAGGTGGTTTAGATCGTACCTATCAGACCGTTACCATTTTGTCTATTTAAACGGGAAAAAATCTAAGATAACGTCAGTAAATTATAGAGTGCTGCAAGGATCTGTGTTAGGCCCTCTGCTATTTTCAATATATATGCTTTCATTATATATATTGGTAATATTACAAGAAAACATGGAATTAGTTTCCAATATTATGCCAATGATACTCAATTATATATTTCATCACGAGCAGTTGAAATCTCTAAATTATCCAAGTTGACAGAGTGTGATAAATATATAAAATATTGGATGACCTGTAATGTTCTTCTATTAAATTCAGATAAGACTGAGGTATTACTTATTGGACCAAAAACATGTACACAGAATCTCTTAGAATATCATTTGAAATTAGAAGGATGTACTGTAACTTCATCCTCTTCAGTTAAAGACCTGGGAGTTATATTAGACAGCAACTTGTCTTTCGAAAATCACGTTTCAATATGTTACAGTACAAAAAGAGCCTTCTTCCACCTCAGAAACATCGCTAAGCTCTGGAACATGCTATCTGTTTCTGATGCAGAAAAGTTAGTTCATGCTTTCATGATCTCTAAACTAGATTATTCTAATGCATTACTAGCTGGTTGTCCTGCATCCTCAATACAAAAGCTACAATTAGTCCAACATGCAGATGCTAGAGTTCTTACTAGGTAAAAAAAATATGATCACCAATTTTATCACCTCTACACTGGTTACCTATTAAGTTCCTTATCAATTACAAAGTATTGCTACTGACCTATAAGGCCCTAAATGGTTTAGCTCCTGTGTATTTGACTGATCTTCTATCACCCTACGTTCTTTAAGATTACAAAACTCTAGGCTTCTGATAGTACCTAGGATATCTAAGTCCACTAAAAGAGGGAGAGAGTTTTCACATTTGGCTCTGTAGCAAATTAGCTCTATGAAATATTAATAATCAATCATAACTTCTTATAATTGATTATGAATATTTGGATCAGTTAATCGGGGTAAACTTGATGTAGCTACATTAACATTACAACCAATTACTCGGTTCATCCCTTGAACACTCAATATTGCTTATTAATTGATTAATAGAAATGTTAATAGAAATTTCCGGGGCATGGGAAATGTCTTTCTTACTAAGTACTACTAAGAGCAAGTAGTCAAGATCTATGATTAGGCACTCTAGATATGAGCTTGAGACACGGACAACTTTACGTGTGATATGAACAAGACTTTATTAACTAGACTAAACATTTAAACTACTCTAACATCAGAGGTGGGTAGTAACGAAGTACATTTACTTCGTTACATTTACTTGAGTATTTTTTTGGAAAATTTGTACTTTTAAGAGTAGATTTAATTGTGGGTACTTTTACTTTAACTCGAGTAGATTTCTAATGAAAAAACTGTACTTTTACTTCGTTACGTTTGGCGACGTTCCTCTCGTTACTTTATTTTAATGCAATATGTTGTTAAAAGCGTGGTTTATTCTAAGCGCGCGCTCTCTCTTTTTTCTGGGCATGAGCGATGCTCAATTCACAAATGAATCACTCTTTTGAGTCGATTCTGTTCAAAGACTTCATCAAACAAGTTGGGCAGATCTGTCTAAATCGGTTCGCGAATCAGTTTGAATGATCTGTTCAGTTTCCTGCACGCACTGAATCGTCTCGGAGTCGTAACAGGAAGATTTAAGAACATCAAGAACATTGTGTGGCGGTCCATAGTCTACAGTACAGTCTAGAAAGTAAATCTGCAAATGCATCATATTTTTT